CCAGAAGAAACATATATATATATTTGTGGGGTAGAATTATAAACTAGTCTCTTTTTTATATGGGCTAAATTTGGTTTCTCCCCAATCTTGTTTAACGAAAACTACAAATAAAATAAAATAAAACCATCTATACCTAGCTATTACCCATTAGTGTTCATATAGTTAATTTTCTACAGCACCATTAAATTATTTCAGACTTTCAGTGTACTCTGTGGACCATATATGAGAAAGAAAACAAACAAAAAGCAAGTTTTTATTATATCGCAACAAATTATACTCCACTCTCTCTCTCTCTCTCTCTCTCTCTCTCTCTCTCTCTCTCTAAGCTTGTAAGCTTGTATTAATTATCTTTCTCTACCTTGCCAAACTGAAAAGTTTCAAAGCCCCTAGATTATTGGTACCTTGATGACAATTTAAAATTCTTTGGAAATCAGAAAGAAAGCAGGAGGTCCTTGAGGAAAACCAACATTTGAGCACAATTTCAGCACATGCATAGAGAACATGAAGTGGGGGGGTGGGGGAAACACCATGTGCATGTGGGATTGCAATAATATATTTCCATGGTTTAATACTATACATGAGAATTTCAAAAACATGCAGCTAAGTAAAATGACATATGGATAGAGTTTTGAGAAAGGCAAAAATATATTTAAAAAAATTATATTTAAAAATGAACAGAACAAAATCTAACGTTTAGCAAAAAGAGCCTGTCTGCAGTGTGTTTGACCAGAGATCCCATGCTATCCTTTAAATCTTTTATGTTTCCAAGACAGCACGAGTGTGTGCGTGTGTGTTGCATTGTAATTGTAAGACATATATAAGTCTACTTTGAGTTTCCATGTCCATGTTTTGTTTTGTGACTTCCAAACATTTCTGTCCTGCAATCGCAAATCCCTATAAACATAAAGATCGATGGACTATTTGCAGCTTGACCCAAAAAAAAAGAAAGAAAAAAAAAGGACTATTTGCAGATGTTAATGTTAATTCAATTCTCATCAATTCGTTTTGAGGGTTACAAGTTTAAGAAAAATAGTAGTTTCAAAAAAGATTATGACAAGGTTTGCGACATGCATGTGACCGTGGGATAAAACTCAGTTGAATTCTGCTGCAGGCCAGTCAAATTCACAACGGAGACCGGCCCAGTCAAATTCTGCTGCAGCCCAAACGACTCATTTGTGTTCATTTGTTCTGTTTAAAGCTACAAGCCTCCACTATTGCCCATCAACCATGGCAGTGCCATCTATCTAGACTTAATTACCAAGCTAGCTATTGGCCTAAATAGCGGGGGAGCCATGCAGGCATGAGGTAGGCATGGCTCTATATGGAGAGGTTAAGGTTATGAATAGTTTAGTGGGGTCAAAATTTTACCTAACTAAAGTATTCACAATCCTAGCCAATCCGAAACATATTTTCTTCGCTTCACTCCTATGTCAAACCATGCTCGCTGGCCCGCCTAATTTGTTAGGGTTTGACATGAAACATAATTGTAACGACACAAACAGTGGTAGACCATCTTCAACTCAAGGGGTGGAAACTCAAATTCTGAGTTTAGTCTCCAAAAAATTTCTCCAACTCATGTATTTTGGGAGGTGAAAATTTGAGATGACTCAAAATTGGATTGGAATTCCAGTTAGAATTCTACCTATACTGATAAACTCATTGGGCCCAAATATGCTTTAATATATAATTTTTAATTGAATGCAATGAGCAACCCATGTACTTGGCTATGTCGCTGGCCCACTTTGACAAGTGGGAATGAAGATTCCCTTTCTGTTTTTGAGAAGCAATGTCTACTTTTTCAAATGTTTTGTTATGCTTTTAAAAAAAAAAAAAAAATATTCCAACAGCTATAAAATCAACGATTCTAATTCATTTTAGGCAATCTCAACGGCAAAATTTCACATCCAACGGCTCAAATTTAAATCTAACGGTCAAATTAATATTTATAATTAATTTAAGTCAGATCCAACCTCAAAACTTATTCCAAACTCTATAAATAGCCATTCATTTGGTAAATAATCCACCAAAAATCATTTTTTTCCTTTCTCCCTTTGTTATAATTTTTCATTCTACATTCATTCTTATTGAGAATGGCCCCAAAACCCCAAAGATGTGTGAATTGGAAACCACAAGAAGATGAGGCATTTGTGTAGAGGGTGGATTTCTGTCTCTGAAAATGGGGCTATTGGCACAAATTAATCAAATGATTCATTTTGGTTGCATGTGTACCAAAATTTTTTGGAAAATGATCCAGGCATGAGCGGAGCCATGGTACGATCAACGCAAACTATTACTTCTAGGTTCAAGATTATCAACCAACAATGTTCTCTTTGGAAGGCATGTATAACAAAGGTCAATGCAAGACATGTGAGTGGCTCCAATCTTGAAGATGTGGTGAGTACCCATTTTTTTTAATGCTTAAATTTATAATTTTAATTATTTTCAATTATTAACTTGATTTTTATTTTATTTCATGGGTAGGATATAAATGCAAAAACAATTTTCTTGAATGATAATAAACCTCTAAATAGGCCTTTCAAGTTGTATCATACTTGACAAATCTTAAAAGATTGCCCAAAATGGAATGACCTATGTGAATCTCCCACACAATCATGTAAGTCTGTACTAAGCTTTTAAACTATAATACTAACCTTGTTCAGCCATGGTAGCAGTGGAGTATCTCGATTTCTTGTAGAGAGTCTTCTTCCCTTTTGCAGTTCTTTAGTTTCTCTTTCTCTTAGATAGGGTGAGATCTGATTTGAGAGTCTGTTTGCTGCAAGAGAAAGGACCTCTATATATAGATGCATCACTACGAAAGCCTTGCCTATCAAGAAGCATTCGAGTGTCCTTTTTGCATTAGAATAGGTTCGTTTCAATCCATGTTGAATTAGGAATCTTGATAACACTTGTGTTTGATTTTAATAAGCTCTGTACAAGCATTATCTAATAGGGATTAAGTTCTATCTCCTGATCAAACCAAAACTCGAGTCCTCTTAGGATTAGAAGATCACCTTTTCTTGGATTAAGACAATAAATTGTCTTACATTCTCCCACTTGATGGATTAATCCCAAAGTTTTGTGTTGATCACTTAAGGCCTTTGTGAAATATAACTCAATCTGATTCCATCAAGCAATTGTCAATTTTAAAGAATGAAAAGGAACCATCAAGACTTCACTGAATATATAAGGATCCAGAGTCTTTATAATCACATTGATCATTCTTTAAAACCACATAAGCTTCCATCAAGATTAAACAGAAAAATAAACATGTTTCACTGTAAAGCTTTATGAACATGTCTATTCAATGTCCCTTAATTTGACTACTAAGGTCTTATCATTTAAAATGATATCCTGTCATGAATGAAAATCATATGCAGACATCTTCAGCTAGCTTTATGCTTAATTCATTCAAGTGTTTGTAAGTATATATACACATAACAATTAAACGTGTAAACTATTTAACTAGAAAACTTTATTTTTGAATCAGAAACTAAAATCAGCATCCATCGAAAACCATAACCAACTGTAAATTAAGACTATAACAGAAAACTACTCTAAAATTAACAAGACTCCCACTGATTTAAGCATTCAAATCATTCCTTAATCCCATGCTCATAACATGCCTATGGAACACTGCATTTGGGACTCCTTTTGTGAGAGGGTCTGCTATCATTTTGTCTGTATTGATATGACTTATATTAGTATAGCCTTGAGCAATTTTCTCCTTCACTATTATGAATTTGACATCCAATAGTCTTGAACCCTTTGTCATTTTGTTTCTTTTTGCAAACAAAACTGTTGCGCTGTTATCATTCCATATTTGAATTGGTCTATGTATCGATTCAACCACATTCAAACTGATAATGAAATTTCTTAACCATATGGCTTGAGAGGTGGCCTCATAGCATGCTAGAAACTCTGCAAACATAGTTGAACCTGCTGTCAGAGGTTGTTTTACGCTTCTCCACGACACTGCACCTCCTCCAAACATGAATACAAAACCTTATGTTGATTTCAAGAAGTCTTGACATCCTGCAAAATCAGCATTTGCATATCCTTGTAATTCCAGCGTGTCACTTCTTTTGAATGTCAGTTTATAATCTTTTGTCCTTTGCAAGTATCTTAACACTCTTTTCCCTGCAATCCAGTAAGCTTGTCCAGGATTGGATTGAAATCTTCCTAGCACACTGACTGCAAAGGCCAAGTCAGGTCTGGTACAAACCTGCGCATACGTTAGGCTTCCTACCGGTGAAGCATATGGTTTGCATCTCAATGATTAGATTCTTCTCATAGTCACAATACAGTCAATTTGGAGGAAGATGAAGATGACGTGGTCATGCCCACTCTAAGGCCATTGAGAAGAGATAAACAAAAGGATGAAAAAAAAGAAAGGGAAAGGTGTTGAAAGTTATCTCAACCAAAGTGGTAAGTTCTTGTCTGAATTGGTTCAACAAGGAAATGAGGCAAAAGATGATAGGCGGCAAAAGTTAGAGCTCCTACAAGAGCAACATTCATATCAAATCCAACAAGATAAGGAGGCCAATGAACAAAGGATAATGTCCATGGACCTATCCAAATTTACTCCAAGAAAGAAGAATACAAATTCCCCTACAATCCAGAAGACAACTCTGGAGACTATTATCCAAGCCCTCCGCATAGTGGTTATTAATTTACGTTTATTTGTAATTGTTGTTTATCTTTATTTTTAATTATCGTTTATCTTTATTTGTAATTGTTATTTATCTTTATTTATAATTATCGTTTATCTTTTTTTTTATGATTGTAGTTTATTTTTCTATGATTAGTTTTTTTAAAAAAATTCAATGATAAACCATATAATTCATTAAAATCACACAACCACTTTTATAATTTAAACACACTTTCATTATTTAAACACACAACATAATTTAAACATGCTTAGATAATTTAAACACACTTACATAATTTAAACACACAACATAATTTAAACACATTTACATAATTTAAACGCACAACATAGCTCAATGCCCATCTCCTTCGCATCTCCAAATGTAGTTGATCAAATCATTTCTTAGATTGTGATGCACTTGTGAAGCACGAACTCTATTATGACGAACCATGTAGTCTGAGATAGTTCGTCTGTCTCGGTTTATATCGTACATGATAGTTGGCTCAAGCTCATAAGCAAGTCTTGCTCTTGCTCTTCTAGATGTTCGTGGACAATTGTCTTCATCATCAGATTCTGCATCTAGATCCTCATACTCATCCTCAACAATCATGTTGTGCAATATTATGTACGTCATCATAATTGAATGAAGTTGTTCTTTGCGCCACATACGTGCAGCTCCCCTAACAATTGCCCATTGAGCCTGAAATATTCTGAAAGCTCTTTCGACATCATTCCTATAAGCCTCTTGTTTTTGGGCAAATAGTCTTTTTTTTGGAGTATCCGGTTGGGAAATCGTCTTAACTAATGTAGCTCAACGAGGCTAGATACCATCAACCAAGTAATAACCCATATTATATTCATTTCCATTGACAACATATTGGATATGGGGAGACACTTCATTCACTACATCATTGAACAACGGGGAATGAGCTAGAACGTTGATATCGTTGTTCGATCCGGCAATGCCAAAAAAGGCATGCCATATCCAAGTGTCATACGAGGCCACTGCTTCTAAAACGACAGTTGGCTTATGCTTGTAGCCGGTAAACTGGCCTGCCCAAGCAGTGGGGCAGTTCTTCCATTCCCAATACATGCAGTCAAGACTGCCTAACATGCTTGGAAATCCTCTGCGACTAGCCTTATGCAAGAGCCTGTAAAGGTAGGTCGGATTTGGGGAACGGAGGTGCCACTGACCATACACAACTTTAATAACAAAACAAAACTTTCGCAAACATTCAAGGGTTATAGATTCACCCAATCTACAGTACTCGTCGTGGAGTTTGCCGAGCATTCATATACGAGCATTCAAAAAATGGTTATTAGTTTCTGCTCTGGGGATAGACTTTGTCGTCCACAAGCTTCTATCTTCTGGGTAAAGTATGGCTCATGTGCAACAACATCATTCAAGATGCGATAGAAAAGCTCTCTTCTCATGCGGAACCGCCTGCGAAAGTCCACTGGGGGATAAAGTGGTCTTTCATAAAAGTAGTCCTCCATGAGACTCTTATGATGTTTTTCTCTCTTCCGAGTATTCACGGCCTGCAACAGAACCACCATGTTTAGATTGTTGAGCATATTGCTCCAGCAAAAATGTATGGTGTTGAACAGCCATTGCAACCTTCTGTTGATGAAGGTCATCATTATCAGAATCATCATTGATGAAATTTTGTATAGTCTTCCCAAGTGAATTCATTGTAAGAAGGAGAATTGAAGGAGATTGTGTGGTCAATTCAGTAGAATAACACTTCTTAAATAGACAAGAGAATGAGATTACCTA